AGCACACAAATGTGTACTTATTCATGTACACTGGAAAAATAAAATAGTAAACATTCAGAATTCTGAGTGATAAATCATACTTCTATAGTCACTTTTCCTGTTCAAATGTGTAAATATTTGTGACCTCACAAAATTAAATGATCATCATCAGACTCAGAATAATCAAAATCTTGAAAAGAGATAATATGCCCCAAAAGCTAAATTATGAACAAGATATGTGTGGCAATAATACTATGATTAGTATTGGAAATTTTACAGGAATAAGAGGATAATTAAAATAATCTTGTTATTATATTATAATTTTGAAGTTAGTAGTATATAGAGGGCTACTATGTGACATTATTTTTCACTTGCTGAAACAGCAGTTGGTAGTTCCTTTTCTGTATTAGACCCTCCAGTATGATGAAGATGCTTTGCACAGCAACTGGATTATAAAGTCTCCAAAGTCTCACCATTTATTTATTTTATTTATTTATTTTTGCCACTGAGGAGTTAACTATAAAAATGCTTCGAGGGCCCATAATTAAGCGAATCTTCACTTGACATTTTAGACCCTTTTGCCACTATCTTAAGCCATCCTGTGTTTCAGCATCACACAGAATCATCAAAATACTGTTAGACTGCTATCAAGTAGCACCATAAGGTCTAGAGATGTGCAATATCCAGCTATAAATTACTATTACAGCACTTCCAGTCTGTGCTTTTGATCATAGAGAGAAAAGCAAGTCTATTGAATCTGGGTAATAAAACCTCAAAATAAGATTTCAATTTTTTCTTTCTCTTTAGCTTTCTTGCTGTTCATAATTCAAGGTAACATTTTAATTCTTATTAACACATAAAAATTCCATTATATCAATTCATTTTTTACATGTTCAGTGGAATGCTTCACTTCAGCTTTCAACAAAACAGTCCAACAGATATAATTTTAATTCCGTACAGAGAAACAGCATTTTTATATTTTGTTCTATTTACCACTTCATATAGTATATAATCTATAATAAATATGAGCAAATATATATAAGCATAAATTCTGATCTTTATGCATGCACTTTATATGTAGCAAGGTTGAGACAGACATGTCAAAAGTATTAAGAATGATATGCTCAGATTTTTCCATCTGTATATTTATACAGATGAATAATTTCACTCAAGTCATTTTTGTGGATATATAAATCCCAAATATTCAAAGTCATTGTAGGTGTCAAGTTGCAGGAGCAAAACCTAAATACAATAGAATTATTATTATATTCCAACTCCTGAAACTGTCAGTTAAGAAAAGTTGTTTTTATTAGAGTTGCTTAAGACATGGACAACTGAGAAAGCTTAACTTTCAAAATTCCTTTTTTCATTTTACCTTACAATGGAAATGCAAATTCTGATGAATATTCTTAGATTTTTTTAAGTGTGCAAAAGGAATTTTATAAAAACAAATCAATATTTAAATTGAAACTTGTTCCCTTTTTGCATAATTGGTTCTGGTAAATAAAATACTTTGATATTCCTTCCATGTTTTCACTAAATAATTAGAATAAAACAACATCCCACTGCTAAGATAAACAAAAAATATTGTAAATGTCAGTGTCCACCCCTCCCTTCCAAAAATAATCCTAACAATTTTGTTCAAAGCATGCCAGCTCCACTACTTTCTTTTTGCCCTATACATGATGGATGCATTCTGAAAGTTACCCAGCTCACAGGTGAGTCAATGAAAGTCTTCCTACTGACTTCAGTGACAGCTGGGACAGCTGGATCAGACCCAATGTCTGATGTCATTGATGCAGTTCCAGGACTGCACGGTAGAACAAAAACAATGCACAGAATATGATTCTTAACACAGTGCAGATGAGGTAAAATCAGCCATATACTCTCTGTTTTCTCCCGTATGACCTACCAGTGGTGCTTTGTGCTCTGTTTGCTTCACAAAATGTCAAATTAGGTACAGCTATGGTCTAATTTTTTTTTTTTTTTTTTTTTTTTTTTTTTTTTTTACTTTTCCTGTCTGTAAGTGAAGTGAAGATGAAGTTTCTGGGACCTTTGGGATAATGCACTTGAAACAACTTCTTTTTTTCTGCCCTTCTCAAACATAAATAACGAGTACCAGATGCACTCTGTAATGATCATAAAGAAATGCTGGAGAGAAGAACCAGAAAACTTGTCTTTTATATGTGTTAGTTCAACCTATTCTTCCTGCTTTGTCACTATCTTTAATTTCCCCTCTAGCTCTATAAAAACTTCTAGCTGTCTCTTAAATTCATTTATACAATGTGCTTCAGTGGGCTTACCTGACAACTTATTCCTCACATTTATTACTTTTAGAATGAAATACATGTGCTTCAATACTGCTGCTGTTTCCACTTAAAGGATATTGTCTACTTATCAGGTCTGGTTTTGATTTGGTTTGGTTTGGTTTATATTGACTAACTTTTAAAAATAGCTTTTTGTTTGTTTGTTTGTTTTGTTTTTCTTACTGATATATTACTCTTTACATTTTATGCAGAGATATTGATATTTATAATTGGATGTCTCCTCCACCAGGCAGGTATAGAGTGGTCTTATAGGTTAGAACTATTAAGCTACCTCTCCTCAGTCACTACAGTAGGTGCTGTTATTGGGGGAACATTCACTTAGGGACATTGTTTAGTGGTGGATGTGTTAATGTCAGGTCGATGTTTGGACTTGATGGTCTTAAGGGTCTTTTCCAACATAAAAGACTGTATGACTCCATAATTCTAGAATGGGCAAATACTGTGGCAAAATGCTGTAACAAGAGCATTTTGAAATAAACAAGAGCTCTGAAATAAACAAACAACTTTGCAAGGTAATAAAAAGATCTCCTGTCCTAAAATTGAGAATGTCTTATCTTGTTAAATAGCAAAATATTCCAATAGATTTTATAGAGCAGTATTATGAAATTCACCCCTCCCCCCATTCCCCCTTCCTTTTAATTTATTTATTTATTTAGTTTTCAGCATCTATGCAGGCTTTATTTATTAATCAGAAAAACAATTTTTGGGGTAGATAGTTTCTGGTTTATTAAGATACTTTACATATATGCATAGCTACAATCAAGCAGTTAATGTACTAAAATACAGGTAAAGAAAGAGAACATATCTATTGTACAATTATTGATAGTATGTCTATATCACACTTTATAATCTGTGTAGTTTATAGAATGAGAGAGAACGTATTCCAAAAGTACACTGTATACATGTCCTACATTTCTCTGAAGGAGCTACCTTTCTTCATTGACTATACCCCTCTTCTCAGTCTGAAGTAACTGGGATGAACACAATGAATATACTCACTACAGCTCCTGCAAAACATTCTCTCCCTTTGGTGTAAAGAGCTAACAGCTTTCTACAGGAATTAACTGTATTCTACAGTTTATTCTACAGCATTTCAATTCAAGACATAAACATTTTAACATACAATATTATTTATCATTTTTGCAAGATTACCATTTTTGCAAGATTACCATTGATTCTAAGAATAAGCATTTTTTAGAATAGAAATGCAACAGTCTAGTATTTCAGTTCCAGATATAGTGCTGCAAAATTCTAGAGCTCATATTTTCCCAGTACATTTCTGTGATTTCAACCTTTTTGAAAGATATTACGAGAAAACATTTTATGTTTATGCTTAGACAGCTGTAAGAAAGAGGACAGTTGTCTGTTAAAACTGTACCTTCTGGGGAAAATGTGAAGTATATTTCTCAAATTATTGAACTGTATATATCCATTCAGACCAGTTAACAAGTTACTGGGCTAGTCTCCAAATCTGTTTGACTTTAGGTAGACTACACAAGGAGACATGTTTCCATCTACTGGTGAGTGTTAAGGATGTTATCATCTTAAAATGGACGTGTACTCAGGCACCATCTCTACAGGATTGGTTTAATCAACTTTAGATGTTGTTACCATGGAAAACTCATAATACTAAAAGAACTCTTTAATGTATTCTTATGCTGTGTGTCATTCCATCTTTGAACATATGGAGGAAGACAACACACTCTTTGTTAAATATGAAACCTATCAGAATTTGAATATTTAGTATGCACCTCAAATGTATAGTTGTCACACAACAATAGGATAATTTTATTTTTGAAGAAACTGTTTCAGTAAAAGAACAAATATTACTACTGAAACTTAAGTTTCAGTATATATCAAATAACATATCATGTATGTTATTGCCTGATAAAACGTATGATCCTAGATCTGTTTATTAAACACTTCTGAGTGTTAGACATGTATATAGCATTTTCAGATGTTCAGCTAGTCTTAAAAATCTACTTTTGATAATAAATACCATCTGATTCTTCTTTAAAATCTTTATTCTCAATTGTTTTACCAGCATCATTAGTGACTTGTTGTGCTGTAAGGACCCAACTCAGCAAAGTACTTGAGAAGCACTCACTCTTGAACATGGAAGTAAATTAACCAAATCACTTATGTCTTTACAGCTTAAATATGGTAAAGTGATTTCTAGAATTGCCATTCAAAAGAAAAGTTTAGGATCAAAGGTCTCTTCACATCCTTCACAATCACCATCTGCACAGGTGATGAGTGTTTGTAGCTGATTGGCAAACTTTTATTTTTTTCTTTCTTACTATCTACCCACACAAGATTGTATGAAGTTTCAAAAAAGAAAAGAAAAGAAAAGAAAGATCACCTTGCATAGTTTTAGATTTGTATTTTAGCAGCCAAAATTTAAAAGATTTTTGCATCAGATGAAAATTCAGAAGGCATTGAAATTCACAAGGAATTGAATATATAAATATATATATATATATATTGTTTTTTTCTATATAACTCTAATAGTAATAGAAACAGAGAAGGCAACCAAGAAGCTGAGACGAAGGAAAAAAAAAAAGGTTAAAAATTGATTTCAGGTTGATTCCTTATCAACATTTCTGTAGTATTTTTTTTTATATATATATATATATATATAAATAAATTAATATTCAAAAAGGTCTAAGAAACTTTAACAAGATTATTTTTTACCCTGACAGTTTCTTACAACGATGCCATGCCTCGTTCTGGAAATTGCAGCTACCTCAGGTATTCTGCACATTTTGAGAACTATCTTTTGAGGTAAATAAGAAAACACACCTGTGGAGCTTTAGTTTGATACTTACAACCACAATCAAACTGTTAATATTTGGAGAATAATGTAAGTAAAATAACTTCCAGTCACAATGCAATTATTAATAGAAAAGATAAAACTAAAATTATTTTTACCAGTGGTATGGCTTCTAATGTTTCTCAAATTTAAGATTTGAACTGCCTATAGCAAAATAGATCACTATTGTTCTATCCATCACTTAAAAGAAGGATGACAGATACTTTGTACATGGATTGCATTTCCCAAGCCACTCATCAACCTACACATTGCAACAACATGAGGAAGGATGCACTTGAAATTATGATGATGTGAGCTTTTGGTATTGCTCATCTTTGCACTAGTCTTTGTTAGTCAACTATATTGCAGTAAATCTCAGAAGCAAGGGAACAACTATCAAGCACTATTTTTAACTCACAATACCTTCAAAAAAAAAAAAAAAAAATCAACTTGCTATGGTATTGTTAAATGGAAGGTTTTGGAACCTTCCATCTGTAACCTGTAGGAATTCCAAAATGATACATCACTACTGTATAATAACGAGCTGGAAACACTTCAAATTAAGTGTTTGTATCAGATTCATTTTTTAATCTGTGAGTCAATAGAAAATACACAGTTCAGTTCATGAAGATAAACCATTTAAACAGAAAGGTAAACTGCCAATAAACGGGTAGAAGTTGAATAAAAGATTGCTTTAACTAGCTAGAGAGTCTCAGAGGACATCTCCTTATCTGACTAGTGTGACATTTGCCACTTAGAAGAAGTGAGGAAATGCTTAATTTGGTCATAAAAGACTACAGATCTTCTAACCTGAATTAACTTGAGGGAAATACAATTGTGGTGGGTTTTTGTTGTTGTTGTTTCGTTTGTTTTAATTATTATTATTTGTTTTCGCAAGGATGAAAAGCTGGAGATTTAGTCTGTCCAGATTCCCTAGAGAAATCTAAGGAGAGGAAAAATTGTAATCTTTCTATCAGAGCAGGTTATTTTAGTTAATTGAACTTGAAATTCAAGATATACAGAAAGACAAAATTTCTGAAAAGACCATGTAAAGCAAACATGTATAGAAAGTAAACTGGTTAGGGGAAAAAACTAACAAACAAAAACCCAAAACAAAACAAAACAAAAACTTCTAGGCTGAATTTTGTTATAAATGTATTAAACATTTTGTTTGATTTCTTATCTTGTATAAATAATAACTTTTATTTTCATTTTTCCTTATCTGCCATTGAGTTAAGTACAATTTCAATTTAACATTAAGGCATTTCCATTTATACCAAATCAGTAGAAAAAAAAAGAACTGGGACTTTTCTGTGGAAATGTATCTAAAGAGTATAATTGCACTTTCCCACAGAAGTTCTGCAAGCTATCCCGAAAGACAGTATAATGGAGACTAGGAAGTATTCTGAAGTTGGTGTGGATAAACAAAGAAGTTCTGCAGCACATAACAAGACAGAGATGTCATCACAAGATTTGTTAAAGGGTTAAGCCTAAATTAATAAAAATATAATAAAATCAAGCTACACACATTGGAGAACCCAGCCTGGTGTGTATTTACTCCATATTATGAACTATATATTTCAGTGTAACTTAACAAAGTTCCATTGCTCAGTTAGCCATACAACTTCTAAGAACTTTGCTACATGATGAATGCCTTTCTTACTAAACTTGTTCTTGTAGGTTGAATAATATTTAGATGCCTACAGTCATTTCAACAATTTATGCTTATGCATAACCTATAATACAACAAAGCAAAGTAATACATGAATATCTTGATAACTAGTGTATTCAACCCATCCTAGTTCCCAAATTGAACTCTCCATGCATCTATTATACAATTCATTATTCAGAAATGATAACAATGATCAAAAGAATGCAGTAATTTTGCTCTGAATTGTGCACTGATTTCATTCAGATACTGCCTTTTTTGCTTATTTTTTTCTTTTCTGTGCTGATCATAAAAAAGTCCTAATATGATATTTCCACAGCTATCTTTGCAACAGATAATAAGAGTGATTTTACAGTACTTCTTCTCAGGTGTTTTTAGGAAAGTATTATATCTCATCAAATTATTTTTATCAGAATTTAATTTTTAATTATAATATTTTATCAATTATTAATGTGAAGAGGTTTCCCTAAGTTTTCAGTTAATTTAATTGCAGCTTTATTGATTGCATGATCTTTATTTCTTTTCATACAAGTACCAGTGTAGCTTTTTCACACATTTTTCTCAATTTTATTTTTCCCTATTTTTTTTTCCTTTCCAAATCCATAGTTCATGGATATGAATCAAAGAGGACTGTTCAGGTACGACTTGTTCTATTAGCTGTTTTATAGTATCCCCAAATTGGTAGAAAATGTACCTCATATATGAATCTGAAGGTATTTTGCTAAAGTCTTTATCTGTCAAAATATTTCTGTATATCTATACTTTAGATTCAAACTGTAATCTGAAACCTTTGAAAGGACAAGTAATGAAGCAGATAAAAGAAACTAACATATATTTGCAAAATCAGAAAAGTTTTTAAGATTGTCCACATTCCAGATATGTCTGCAGTCCAATCTCTGGTACCCAGACATTTCAGTATATGAGCTTGGTATTTATAGTACCAATCAACATGACTAAATTTATTATTCTATCATGATATCTCTTGAATAAATAAGGAGGTGTAGGAATTCTTTAGAAGATGAAAACTCCTTTCAGGAATAAATGGTCATGCAATGCATCTTCAGGAAATACCTAAGATCTAATATATTTTTGTCTTCTGTACCCACTTTTCGCTCTCTGCCTCCCATTAGCTGCCCTCAGAATAATCTTTTCTCCCCAACAGGCATGGGGGAAAAAAGGAGAAGGCTAGAGTTTCTCCACTAAGCCATAAGTTTCTCCATTTAGATTAGGCTACATTCTCTCATGCTTATGATGCACAGTCGTTCTCTGCAGACATATCCTAGTTATTTCTGGTACCGGGGAAATGTTACCATGGCAGTACTGTACTTATTCTTATGAGCTCAAGTTAGCTCAGATACATCTATACGGTGTTGAATTATGCTATATAAATATACCCTTAACTCTAGATCCCAAACCACATCTACATGTTACAGGGTTTATCAGTTTTCTGATGCCTGAAATCTGTGCTTGCTTAAGAAGAGTTATGTAGCTCAGAGTGCATTGACAAGAAGCAACATCTTAGCAAACTACTTTTTCTTAAACATTTAGGTTTAGGTTGGATATCAGGAAGAGGTTCTTCACTAAGAGGGTTTTCGCACACTGGAACAGGATCCCCAGGGACATAGTCACGGCACGAAGCCTGTCAGAGTTTAAGAAGCATTTGGACTGTAATCTTAGTCATATGGTCTGAAGTTTTGGGTAGACCTGTGTGGTGCCAGGACTCAATGGTCCTTGTGGGTCCCTTCCAACTCATATTCTATGATTCTATGATTCTACTACTAATGTCCCCCACTAAACCATGTATTTTAGCGCCAAGTCCAACTTTTCCTTAAACACCCTCAGGGATGGTGACTCCACCACTTCCCTGTAAATATCATAAGGGAAAACCTATATTGTTACACTTTCCACAAAAACACTACCAAAGTTGTTTGGAAAAAAAAAAAAAAGTGTGTGTGTGTGGGGGGGGGGGGGGTGCGAAGGGAACAAATGTTTACCTTTGAGGTTAAAAATAGACTGTCCTCCACCTTCTTTTCATGAGTTTCTGCTTTCAGGCTTCACAATTTCAGTAGAAATGGTACAAAATATATTCATGAAAGCATTTCTTTCTGATTTGGGTGTGGAAGGAAACTTGTCACTTCAGACTGAGGATGGTTGAGAGTCTAAGATGTTAACTTCTAGGATAAACTCTGGGCTATTCACCAGTGAGAAACCAATCCTGGAGACACAGATGAGTCTCATCAATTCAGCTTTTTAAAAACAAAGCATATTAAATTCATGATAGTGTTTTACATTTTGAATTACATACAGAGATAACTACTAGTTGCTGCTCTGTGGAAGTGTATTGTGATATCATAGAGCACAGATTCATTCATTTTTTTATTTAACCATAACATGAACAAGGTTTTGGGGCTGATTTATTATAAACATAGCTTAGGAAAACAAAAAAAACAACAACACACAAACAGCAATTTTAAATCTTAATAAAATTCTGAATGTGATTAGGGAACACAGCCACCCATCATGTAGATCTCTATATTAGAAAGGTCAGGTCATGACTACTTATTTGTACATTTCAGCACATAAAAATTGTAAATGGTGTAAGTAAAAGAGCAGAAAACACACTAAACCATCCATTACCCTTTTCTAGTCTTCCCTTTTCTAGTCTTCCCTCCTTTTAGAACTATATAATGCCATTTATATTAAATTTATATATATATATATATATTCATTTATATTAAATCCCATTAAAAATGCTTGAAAGAATTTCTAGTTCACAAACTGGATTATGGAGATGTTAGTATAAATATTTACAATTGATTCTCAAATATAATCCTATTCCTACTTTACTTTACACGTACCTTTTAATAAATATTTTCTTACTTTCACTGCAAGGAACCTCTTTACTAACTCTTAACTCTACTTTTTTTACTAACTGGGAAAGAAAAAAGCTGTTAGATGTATTTTTACTTTATCAGTGTTTATCTTCTTTTTGAAGTCTTCAGGCCAATACATCTTCAAGCCACATCTGAATACAAAACACTTCATTTTTATAGCCAATAATATCTACCATACCTTACTTAAAAACAGAGAACTGGGGAGGAGAGGAACAGATGTGTTTTCCTGATCCAAGGTTTGTCTGGTTCAGATTATTAGTTTTAAGGAAAAGAAAGGTAAATTGTACTTGGTGTCTATGTAATGCTGGGGCAGCAATGGCCTCTCCTCACAGAGGCTGCCCCATGACAGCCCCAGCTGGTTCCAGCTGGCTCCAGCAGCTCTGTCGCAGAGCATGAATGGCCCAGCAGCCAGAATGTTGGCACCTCAGGGAAAGAGGATTAAGGAAAGGGTAAAAATGCTGTATTGCAGTTGTGAGAGAGAGAAGGCAGTCTATCTTGACCCATGGGTTTTTCACCTTTTTTTCTTCCCCTGTTCTGTTGAGGAAACTAAGGTCAATCCACAACAGAGGGCTTAGCCATACCATCATCACATATGAGATTAAAAAGATGGTCTCATTTTTCTCTCTGAAGAAAGTCAAGTTCTTATCAGCAATAAAAGCTGAGGTAAAGAAGAGTAAAAAAGCTGAGGTAAAGAAGGAGGAGATGGACATTTGGAATGATGGCAATTGTCTTCCCAATGAGCTATTATGCATGATGAACACTGTTTTCCTGGAAGTTGCCAAACATTTGCCTGCCAATGTAGCAAATTAAATCCTTGTTTTGTTTTGCTTGCATGCACTGATTTACTTTATCTAGTAAACTGTCTTTATCTGAACCTAGAAGTGTTTTCACTTTCTGATTCTCACCCTCATCTCACTATGTGGGGAGTGAGCAAGCAGCTGTATGGTGCTTAGCTGCCCACCAGGCTTAAACAACAACATTCCTGCATACCTATAAAGATTTCCACTGAAAATAGCTGATTACTTTTGGTAAGACATTCAGTGTTCTAGGAATAAATAAATATTTAGAAAAAAAATGTGTTTGTCTCACCCAGATAAAATGTAATCTTTATTTCTAAGATACTGTTCTGGTCAGTAGGTATCCCTCTTTTACTTAACAATAGATGTACATTTCATCAGGGACTTCAGCAATAGATCCTTCCATAATGCACATGCTGGTAAGAGTTTTTTTCTTTTCCCTTTTAGTCTTGTCTTTTGGAACAGTTTCACCTTGCATTGTATTATTAAATTTTAATTGGACAAGGCCATCTCAGATGGACTGACTCTGTAGTTTAGTCAGCTTGTAGTGCTTGCTAGAGATATTGATAATGAGGGTTCAAGCCCTTCTTTATAAGTTATAACTTCAGATACAAAGGGGACTGAAAGAAATTCCTGCTACAATAGCAAGAGAAAAGTAATGATTTCTTGGGATGCTTTGACTGGCATGCTACGTATATGAAACAAGCAGTGAGGAGATCTGAATGTGATGTTTTAATGTTAAGCAAGTACTTAAACTACCTTGGTGTTGCTGAACAAATATGCAGTTGTGACTGCAGGGCTCCGTCTTTGTCCTCCGTTTTATGCATGAACCTTATAAGTTTCTGGTGAATGAAAATGGATTTTTTTTTTTATTATTATTATTTTTTTGGGGGGAAGGGAAGGAGAATAATAACTAAACTAGACTAAAATAAATAAATGTCATAAAACACCAGTGAGAAATATATGCAGAATGGCAAATAAGAACTTGAATTCATAAGGTAGTTAGCTACCTAGAAATGCAGACTGTCTCCCAGTGGCATCTTCATTATGCCTAATGCCTTACTGGTCTATAAATCAAAGCAAGGAGATCCTGAAAATCATACCACGCACTTATCTGCTTATTTAGGCAACTAAGTATCTCTTACAAGTCTGGGCCAGAGGTTGTAACT